TTTTTCAATGACCAGCTAACAGCTCCACCAGAAAGGATGAAAGTATAGCCAGTAACAGAGTGGCAGTCATTGATATCTGCTGCCCAATCTGCATCTACATACCCAATTGTGCATGCATTTGAATCTTGCTTATAGGTAAGATGGACATTGGGGGTGCATTGCAGATAGCAAAAAATGTGCTTTAGTGCAGTAGAGTGTTCATGCCCAGGGCATGCAGCATGACGGCTCAACATGCCTACAGTAAAGGCAAGGTCAGGCCTCGTTGCTAGCATTGCATACATAAGGGCTCTGAGAGTGCCCTGGTATGACTTGGTGTTGGCCTCTGGAATTTCTAGTTTTTTGAGCTTTAGGTTAGGCTCAATGGGGGTCACGATGGCTCACCCCTCACTCATTCCAAAGCACTCAAGAATACTCTCAACATATCTCTTCTGTGAGAGCTGTATGATACCTTTATCACAGTCATGAAGTATCTCCATTCCTAAAATCCAACATGCCTCCCCCAGATCTTTCATCTCATACTCCTGCGAGAGCTGAGCCTTGACGCACTCAATGGTTGTGCGGCACTTTGAGAGTATTAGCTTGTCATCTACATAGACAGCAACAACAATGAGTATGCTGTTCTTGACTTTAAAGAAGAGGCTATGGTTGGCCTGGCTTCGAGTGAAACCCAGGGATTTGAAAACAGTCCAAAGATGAGAGTACCATGACTTGGGGGCCTGTTTAAGGCCATAGAGCACTCATAGCAGCCACCAGACTTTGTTGCTGTCAGGAGGAAAGCCCAGAGGGGGGCAAAGGTATATTTCTTCATCTAATAGTCCATTTAGGAATGTGGATTTAACATCCATCTGATGAATTTTGAGATTATACCTAGCAGCAAGCACCAGGAGTATGCAGATGGTTGCAAACTTGGTGACAGGTGCAAACGTCTCCATGTAGTCCATCCCATGTACCTGTGTAAAGCCTTTGGCTACCAAATGAGCCTTGTACCTCTCAATTTCACTGGTCGGCCCTCACTTGATCTTGCAGACCCATTTCGAGTCAATCAGTTTACAGCCAGGAGGCAGGGCAACTTCCTCATACAGTCTGATGGACTTAAAGGTCTGTAATTTGTCAATCATCACAGCATACCACTGATCTGCATCAGTGCATCACATTGCATCATTGAACAAGCAAGGTTCATTGTCATGTGTTGTGGATGCTTTGTAAGCCACTTCCTCATTCATCTCAGCCACCTCAGCCTCACTGTTGCCACATGCACACTCTTGCTCTCGAGTGACTTCATCGATGGGGCTTCCACCCTCACTCTCTGCACCTGAACCCTCCAGCACCTCAAGCTGTTGACTAGGTAAGGTTTTCCTGTCATAGGAATTGATGAAAAAGTGATAATCATCATCTCTAGGTGGCACTTTTCATGTTCTGGTGGACCTGCAGGTCTCTCGAGGCAGAATTAGAGTTAGATAAAGCTGTGGGAGTGTCGCTTTATGCATGGTAGGTTTCGGCGTGGCCATTTCAAGCGCTTTTTTAGGATTCCAGCCGCTGCCTGGCATGTTACCCTCCAAGTGCTGTGGGGAATGATCTACCATTGATCCTGAGTGATCAGGTGCATTGTTTGACTCGATTTCAACCTCATGGACAACATCTTCACTCTCTCCCCCACTAGACTTGAGATCCCCATCACCAGACTCCATGTGAGCATGGCCTTCCATGCCTGAAGCCCTGATGGTATCCAGGTGTGATGTATTGCCCTTTTGGGCATTCCCTCTTATGTCTGCTGCCTGGTCTGTTCAGGCATGCAGATGCCCCCAAGGTTGTTTCATCAAATGTAGTATGATTTGTTAGTGTGCCTGGAGTATGCACTGCAGGTATGGCTGTGTCCTTGCTGTTCTTGCTGGGCAGGACAAGTGTGTGAGTTGCACATTCAGCTATGTGGCCTGGAGTTCGTGTGTTTGACATCTCATAGCAGGCCATCTTGGGCTTGAGGTAGGTGATTAACTCTTCTGAGTTGTATTCACCCTTACTGTTGGTCAAGAGGTGCTTAGGACATTCACCAGTTTTGATTTCTGCTCGGGCATGAACCTTGTCAGTTAAGTCAAGGGTCTTTTCTGACTGATGGTCTGTCCAAGATGTTGGTACAGATCCATTGAAGGCTGAGTAGGTCTGGTAGAGTGCACCATGAGTGTCATTAAGATAGGACTTAGGTGGGGTTAAGTTGATCTGCTGTGTCTCTTCAAGATGAAGGTGATATCCTGCTGTAGGATGCTGTGTGCAGTCCATAACTTCTGTTTCATCAACCATATCTGTGCTGACAAGTCTGTGTGTGGGTTTTTTACTTGTACACCAGTCTGGGCTAGACTGCCAGCTTTCAAGTGAAGCTTCTGACCCTGCACATGACTCAGACAGCAAGATGTTGGAATTGCAAAATAGGAAGATGGAGTTATACAGCATGTATGAGGCATCATTTTGGGTGTGTGGTTTTGCAGCAAGTATGTAGAGTCCAGTCTTCTTACAAATAGCAACTCCAACAGTTCCTGACTGGCTGTTGACCAACTGACACTTATCTTGTTTGAAGGTGAATCATACTCCCTGACTGGTGAGGGATGGGACTGACAGCAAGTTTGAGCTTAAAGATGGCATGTAGTAGACATCATGTAGGATGATGCAACTTTTCTGTCTGTCCCTGAGGTCCATATCAAGAGTTATATGGCCAACTGCAACTGCATGCACAGTGTTTCCATTTGTGACTGTGATAGGCTGCATAGGTGCAAGCCATTTAAGTGAGGTGAACCAACTGTATTGACAGCTCATGTGAGCAGAGGCTCTGGAATCAAGGATCCAGTGCATGCATGGAGGATGGCTGTGTGCATGTGCTAAAAAGAGGTGGAGTGGTGCATTGTACTCAGAGGATACATGTGCAAACTTGGCAGCAAGTTCATCCTTTTCTTTCTCTCCTGCCTTTCCCTTGTCATCTGATGTCACATTTTTTGAAGCTTCATCAGCTTTCTTTTTTCAACATTCATCTTCACTGTGTCCTCTCTTTTTGCAGTACCTGCACTTGATCTTTTTTCTGTCATCATTTGCTTTTAACTTTTTCTGAGCAGATGTCCTGGAGACAAGTGCAGTTTGCCCACTGGAGGCAAGTTGATGCAACTTCTCCTCAATTAGAACCTGCAAGATCACTGAGTCAATTGACAGTTTGTCATTTGAAGACATCAAGATTGTGTGGAGTGTTGCATAGAAGGGTGGTAAGGAGATTACCATAGCAATGGCTACAAGGGAGTCATCAAGAGTTTGGCCAAGTGACTTTAGTGTGCATGTTTTGTGCCACATAGCATTTAGCTGGCTTTCCATTGGACTGTCATCTGAGAGTGTGCCATGGAACAGCTCACCTATTAGATAGGCTATAGTCTGTTTGCCATGCCCTTCATACTGCTGACACAAGTTTTTCCAGATTTTGGCTGCTGTCATCACATGAAGAACTCCAGTGAGGGGTTCATCTTTCAGTGTGAGTATGATCTGGGCTCATGCCTCTTTGTCCTTTATCAACCAGTCCATATGGCCATTGGGGTCAACTTTAGGATCAGGCACTGTAGTTGTGTTTCTGCCAACAACTTCCCATAGGTCTTGTATGTGGAGCACCATGCAGATCCTTACTTTCCATGTCTGGAAATTTGAGCCATCATCTTCAAATGATGGTATGTCATAGAGATGACTCAAGGCCTGCTTAGCTTTTGCTGACAAGAGAGTAGTGGTGGTTGAGGCAGTGGTTGTCAAAGCTGATGCCTTGGAAGGACTGGCTGTCAAAGCTGAAGGGTTTGACATTTCATGAGCTTAAGGGTAGGGAAGATTTGTTTTTGTCTATAGTTCTGCAAGCTTGGGGCTCATAACCTTTTGAGAAGGGACCAAGGTTGCAGGGTGAACTAGAGTGTGAAAACTCAGTCTTTGAAGTAGGATGAAGTCTTTATTATTAACCAACCTAGAGTGTGAAAACTACTCAAGCTGGTAAGTAAAAGTAGGGTATAATACCAGTAAGGAACATTACCTCAGTCTTTGAAGTAGGACGAGGTCTGAGGTACAAGGAAAAATGAAGTGGCTAAATTGTATGGAAATATTATGTAAGCATTGCTAACAGCAGTATGTTCCAACATCAGTAATTCATTCAGCAGCTTTGATAGTTGAGACTTTATTAAGGGTCTATCTATCATCTACTTCAATTATTATCATCTATCATCAATCAGCTTTGCTCCAAGTCCTCCCTGAGCTCAGTGCAGCTCAGAGCATCAAATTAAGTTGTCATCCATCCTTCTGTAGGCTGACAGCAGTCTACCCTATCACATTCTATTGCATTCTTGCTCCCTCTTTGTCAGGAGCACCCCCAACCCTCAGCACTCATCTTTGAGTGTTGTAGCTTGCAAAAACCCTCCCAAATCAAAGGTTCTACCATCTAGGTACTGCATAGGCATACCACCACTTGCTTTCATTGTCTTTTGTCTTGGTTTTGGTTGGTTTTCACCACTGAACCACACTTTGACTCACAACATGTTAGGGGTCTACCCTAAAACAGCATCCATTATTACTGGCATGTGATACCTAGTATCACATGCTCTCCTTGTATATAAATATGTCTCAGAATCTCATGTAAATAACTTTTCTTTTCTACATCTTACTACTTGAATACCAGATGATTCACTTTGCATGCATGAGCTTGAGAAGGAAGTAATCACACCCCTTACAATTTTTTGGAGTGTGTTATTGAGTATTCACAATGACATGCACAACCTGCTCTTATGCATAAGCAACAGCAGCTAAACTGCCTGACAGAGGGGGTGACCCCCCTCCAGATGAACATAATCATCAAAAGGAAAAAGGACCTCCTGAGGTCCAAAAGGATAAGAAAAAGAAACAGAAAGAGGATCTGACCTCACAGATCACAATGCAGGTGCTAATCAAGAATCAGGCACTAAGCAGCCCAAAAACAAAGTGCCCATGCACATGCATCAGTGATGATGGAAGAAAGTACTGAGAGAGGTACAAGGGAAGTGAGTTCAGTGGAGGTGTTCATTGAAGTGATGAGTCCTTTGACCTCTCAACCTTCCAAACTAGAGAACTCATGGGTATTGTATAACCTGAACACTCCTCAGGATAGTGAGAACCCTTTAAATCAAGTATATGTTGAAGGCAGGATGCCTTCAATGAGAGAACTTGACAAGGACATTCTCCTCAATCCTTGGGTAGCCTTGGCAGCTATGAATGAATTCCTGGAGAATATCTGGCAACAATGGAGGGATTATGGGTTTGGACCCAAAAGCTTCCATAACCACAGGATAGATCCAGGTGAGCATCACACCAATATGATAGAGCATATCAGGTGAGCACTCACAGTCAAGAACCTCAAGGACCAAACTAGCAGGGCTAGCAGCCCAGACACTAGGGCAGCAGAAAAGAGGGAAGAGGTAACTTCTCCTGTTCTGCAGGATAGCCCTGCCTTGAGAGAAATTTATACAGATGAATGAGAACATTGTTTGACACAGGGGTACTTAAATCCAGGAAGGTTACCCACAGGGCAAAGCTATAGTGCCCCAGTTGGAGGTGGAAGCAATAGGAGCAGTCTTGCCCCTAGCATGCCAAACTGACCAGTGTACAGTGACAGACAAAACTGTTGCAATGCTTGTGATGTGTGCATTGTTGATGATGTATCTCAGGCTATTCTTCATGGGCAGTTATGATACATATACCATTGGAAAGGGGAACTTCCAGCTTTCCAGAACATTAAGGTATATACCACACAGAGCCATACATGCTGAGATGTACTGTATTATTTCCAAAAGGTGCATTGCAACACTTTTGTCCCTGACTGGTGAAATAGTGAAAAGTGACCTTGTGATGGGATTGAGGGTATGAGGGATGGGAAAATATGATTACATAATAAACCACATGATCTTCCAGATGATTTGTCAGCATGTAAACAATGACAAACATTGGACTTGTACCATGAAGCCTCTTTTACCACAACTCATGAGATCATCTCTCTGGTTCACATGGTCATTTTTTCTCAGGGAAATCTTTATCAAATACTGGTGGCCACTACAGTACCATCAGTATAACATGCTCTCAGAACCATCAGTCCCTTAAAAAACCTGCTGTCAGTCATTCCCTGCACTGCCTAATGTGTTCTGGGACTAATCAGCACTTGGAAGGCTGAGGATGTTATGGAGGTCAATCTGGCACTTCAGAACATGATGGACAAACTAGTTCCCTCTCAACCAATGCATTTCTGGCACAGAGACAGTGGTATGGAAGTTAGGGAAAGACAAAATCCTCTTTACCACTGGGTGTCATCAGAAGGATATGCTACTGAACTGTCATGGAGCAGAATCCTGTGTTTCCATCTAGCCCTGAATATTGCCTTTGGTCACATATGACCAAATAAACCTTCCACAGTCATCTACAGTTCAGATCAGAGCAAGATCTAGTGAACCCTCTTATGGTGCTTGGAGCACAAGGAGGTTTTGTCTCACCCCAACTTGCATACCAGTGTCTCTTTGCCAGAAATGCATTGGTTGAGAGGGGACTGGTTTGTACATCATGTTCTGAAGTGCCAAATTGACCCCAAAAACATTCTCAGCCTTCCAAGTACTGATTAGTCCCAGAACACATTAGGCAGTGCAGGGAATGACTGACAGCAGGTTTTTTAAGGGACTGATGGTTCTGAGAGCATGTTATACTGATGGTACTGTAGTGGCCACCAGTATTTGATAAGATTTCCCTGAGAAAAAATGACCATGTGAACCAGAGAGATGATCTCATGAGTTGTGGTAAAAGAGGTTTCATGGTACAAGTCCAATGTTTGTCATTGTTTACATGCTGACAAATCATCTGGAAGATCATGTGGTTTATTATGTAATCATATTTTCCTATCCCTCATGCCATCAGTACCATCAAAAGGTCACTTTTCACTATTTCACCAGTCAGGGACAAAAGTGTTGCAATGCACCTTTTGGAAATAATACAGTACATCTCAGCATGTATGGCTCTGTGTGGTGTATACCTTAATGTTCTGGAAAGCTGGGAGTTTCCCCTTTCCAATGGTATATGTATCATAACTGCCCATGAAGAATAGCCTGAGATACATCATCAACAATGCACACATCACAAACATTGCAACAGTTTTGTCTGTCACTGTACCAGGATCCTACAAACTTCATCCCCCCACATCACTGGATCTGGGCAGACTTTGCCTATCCAACAGAGAAGTGATGTGTCATGCCTTTCAAGAAGCCAAGGGGAGGTAGCCTGACACATAGACAGAATGTATACAATCAATATTTATCAACAGTGTGCACCTGCAGGCCAGTTGTGCAGAAGTACCATTCTCAGTGTTTTGAAGGTGCAAGTAAGGGTGGAACATGCATTTGCAGCCCTCAAAAGCCACTTTCAGTCATTGCAAGAGTTTCAGCTCAAGGTGAATCAGGCTAGCAACTTACATGTTACCATGTATTGGATCTTGTGCTGCATGATCCTACACAACATGGTCATTCACTTTGAGAGTGAACAGAGGGATGTGCCAGGCAAAGGAACAATGGACTGGGCAATAAGGAAAGGCAAGGAGCTGGACAGTGGCATGGATGAGGATGTTGGTGAGGAACAATGGGGGACACTGGGGCAGCAACATTGACTCATGCTGATGGAAAGGCTGTTTGAGCAACATGGGATTCACATGTAGACCACACCACATGCACATATACAAACTACTGTGTATCACAGGAAAGATAATCATCTTATTCCACATGGACACATACATTGTACTAGTGAGTATGTAGGCTATAGTTGTGGAAAATAGAAAAACAATGGGGATTGGGGAGAGAAGTGATACAGCATGTATGTGGGAATAATGTTGATCAGTATTCATGCATCTGAGACCAGATCATCAAAGGCAGTGCAAGGCAAGGTGTGATAAAGAGATGGCACAGTGGTGTTGGAGGATGAGGTACCATTGAAAACTTGGTCTGAAGATGAGGTTGGTTGAGCTTGGAGCATTGCCAGTTGGACTTTGAGATGGAGATTCTCCCCTTCCTCCTTGAGCTATTGTATGTGTAACTTTTGTCTCTCCATAAAATGCTTATGGATCTTCTCAGCTTCCCTGTGTTCCTTCTCACCCTCCACTTCCAAATGAGCTATCTCCTTGACATGCATATAGGCCTGGGTCTTGATGACTTTGCATTCAGTCTTGAGTGCACCTAACTGGCACCACTGATCCAAGGAATTTTCATTTGACTCACCAAACTGCTCATTGAAATCTGCCTTGAGCTGAGTAAGCATGTTTTTCCCCTTCATTTGAAAGGTCTCAGAGCTTGCCACCTGGTGCCAGCTAGCACCATCACTGACAGCAGAGGTTGTTGTAGATGCAGTGATAACAGAGGGGGGGGATCTGGCATATGGAGACATCCAGAATGCTGAATGGTTGTCCCATGACAGTGTTTGACAGCCAGGCTTGTTGAATGGCAATATCATATGGGTAGAACCAACAGGCTAAGGTTCCCATTAGTAAGATGAGTGAGGAGTTTTATAGTGACTCATGTGGTGGGTGTCATTCACTGCACTATCATTGAAGGTTAGTTTGGGATCAACTGAAATGACCTGAGGGTGTTCCCCAGGCCCCCTTCCCTCATATATCTCCCCCTCTTCATCCTCATCCTCCCCCCACTCCATCACACCCATAGAAAAGTCATTGATACTTGTGCCTTCACCTGTGAAAGCTCCAGAAGTACCCTGAGGGTTGATTAGCATAAAACTCTGAAAAGGTTCAACTTCCAGATCACCCCCTTCCATTGTATTGTTCCAGTTGGTCAATTGTTGGACTTGCATATCAGTGACTATAGGAGTTGCAGTCACAGTAGTGCCACCCTGATACACAATGGGAAGAAAGTCACCCATCCAGTTTGTGCCAGGAGCTGGATTGAATAATCTTGCATCATAAGTAGGGTTCCCATGCCACATGCAATTGCATTCCTCCCAGAATGGGAACTCTGCAACAACTTCCTCTAAAATAAAAACTGTGTATGAGACCAGCCACATGGTGTACAGAGGAGAAGGACCATGGTATGTACCCAGAAGATTGGAATAAGCTGGATTGTTAGGATCAATGCCTTCACCAGTGAACTTAAACCTTGATGCTTGTTGTTGATATTTGGCATTTAAGCTGATTGGTCTCTTGGAATGATGTGATAAGACATACCTTGCCAGGTGGCTACCAACTGCTGAAGCAAACCTCTCAGTCTGGGTTGCATAAACTGTCCCATATATGAGATCTTTGGAGAAGATCACTTCAGTGATAACACCATTGATCTCTTTTTTGTGATGGGCATGGGACCTTGCATTCCCCAGGGCACTCTGATCTCTCTTCTTGTTGAATAGGATGGCATGATCTGCTGGATTGTCCCATAGCCAAGCCAGCAGCTCTCTGGTAAGATGGGTATACCTCTCCCAGTAAATAGTTTTGCCCCCAGAAGCCCTCAGCTTGGGCTTGGGTGACACAGCATTGGGGGGAGGGCTGGGTGACGGATGGGGGGGAGGGGGGGGGGGATTACTGGTACTAGCAACAGAGGGGGCCCTGGCCATGGTAGTTACAGACTTGGCCCATAGGCAAGCAGATGTTGAAGGTTTGGGCAGAGGGGAGGTATGCTTATAAACCCTGCTTCAATTATCTACATGGTGAAAATCTTAGGAATTTAGTAGGGTTGAGCATACAAAATTTGCCGGCTTAGTTGTCAGCTTAGTGCACTTTGAATACCATTAATGTGGTATTGTAGTAGCACCACCTCAGACATTTGCCACTATGCATGCATGAGTGAGGTGGGTATAGTGTTCTTCATCTATATCCATGTACTTGTGCTCATGCTGTTACCTTAGATCAGTGTATAGGTAATGCATACAGATGTTTGCCTCTGTGTGCATGACTGTGATCTGCATATAGATTTCTGTGACTGGGACACTCTAGAATGTTGTGTAGTGCTGTAGTGTGTGACATGAAATTCTTGTAGGGCTGGGACACTCTGGGGACCCTGGCATAACATGAAGTACTGTAGCATACTGTGACATGAAAATGCTGTAGGACTGGGACTCTCTGGGGACTCTGGGATACTATAAGGTAATGTGACAGTATAACAAAATCTGCGGTGAGCTGTTACACTCTGACAATTTGGGGGGGGTTGCTGATGCTGATGACACTAGGCAAGTGAATCCTACTATGAAACCAAATAGAACTCACTAATCTTGACTGATGCAGCCTAGCCTATGTACCAAGGTAATATTATTCCCTGGCATCTTCACAGAGAAGACGATCTGTTATCATGATTCAAGTAATTGCTTTGGCAAAGTTTGCAAGGTTCTTTGAATGAACTGCAAAGTTAGATGATGACAGAAGGTAAGTAAACCCTACCATCAAGCCAAAGCAGAATTTGTTCATGCTCAACCTTGACTGATGCAGGCTAGCTTAGCACCAAGGTAATATTATTTTCCAGTATCTTCACAGAGAAGATGATCTCTTATCAGGGTTCAAGTCCTTTGTCAAAGATTGCAAGGCTCTGTGAATGAACTGCAAGGTTAGACTGAATTCCAGCCTTTACTTCATTAATGGTGCCTTTCATGTTGGGTGCTTGGTGCCCTCACCAGCATGACACCCAAGTCTGCTCATGTATGCTTTTGGGACATTGATGATTGAGTTGCATTCCAGTGTTGGGCTGGATCCAGGCCCCTTATCTGCCTCATGCACCTAATATGTGATTTATGTAAATGTGCCAATCATTTCTATGCAGGTCATGTTATCTACTGGGACTGTCTGGACAGGGCTAGCCAGTTGGGAACCTTTTTGGGGATAGCTGGGGGTCTGGAGCAGCTGTACAGTCTGCTCCAGTCTGCCCAGCACTGGCCAGCCTGGACAAGGTGAGGGTTGGTTTGCTGATGGTTGCTGATGTGCTACACAAGGATGAACTTAATTTCACACCAAGCACCTCATGTTATTTTGCCAACTCCACACCTCATCACTGTAAAACAGCCCCTAACCACCCCAGAGGAACTCTCTGGTGCCTGTCAACTGGCCCACAGTACAAAACCTAATGCAGAAGCAACACCAGTGGACCTGACCAGCCAATGTCATTCCAAGACAAGTGGAATTGATGGCCAATCCAGGGCTGCATACCAGAAACAAATGAGAATGGTTGGACTGGTGGTTCAAGTTGTGAGTATGGGTCCATATGAACAGAGTAGTACTCCCACTTGATTCTGATACATAAAAGGCCCTGAGATGCTTATCCAAAGACAATGCTTATTGGGACACCTGTCAAAATGGTGGGGTGTGGGAAGAATGGGAAATGGAGAAAGAAAAACCTCTTAACCCTGTGGTCTGGGTATAGCTAACAATTCATTGTCAGGATGATAGAGCAATGGTTTGAGAGTAGGTTTGAGTTCTAGTGAGATAATGCTAAAGAAGACACTCTCAGACTACCCTACTGTCACTTGGAGGAGAGGAATAGGGTTGAAAACTTTAGAGCTAAGACCCCAAAGAGGTCTCTGAGCAATGTATTACAATCCTTTACACTACATAGATGTCCCTACACATGTAAAGTGCATGTAGCCAAAGCAGTGTTCATGACACCACCAGTGACATCAAGGGGATATGTAAGGAAAAACATGCAAGCAAAAGAAAGGCCCAGAAGGTTGTGGAACCTTGTGTCAAGATTAGATGAGATAACTATGATAAGATAAAACAAGATAAGAAAGGATGACAGACTCAGGAAGCTGATGATGCCCAAGTCAGACCATGGAATCACAGGTGCAACATCCACAATAGTGTTCACTCAGCCCTCTTCATTGGCATCATCATGTCAGATCAGGACTAGTGCAAGTGGTGATTCCCAGCAACCAGCTACAGTGGCTCAAAAAAGTGTCCCAATGTTGGGTGATTTTGGAAAGAGCTGAGATTTATAAGAGAGCCAATAGGAATTAGTTCAAACCCCCACAGGACCAAAAATAGTACTAACCATTGCCTTGACAACATGGGCTTGCTTATGTAATTTTGTTGACATGGCACTGAGATATAACCATTTTAAGATGACATGTCATTGGGACACTTTTTTGAGCATGATGTTGTCAGTCATTATTTAGTAAATAACATAAAGATTTGACAACTTCTGAGGGATTTTGTGCTTCAACCTTGACTGATTATGTAATGTACATAATCCTGAGCCATAAAAATGGTTTGAGCCCCACTCAGCTAACCCTATTTCACCATGAAATGCATTTTTGCCTCTGCTAGAGCAAATATCCATCTTGTGTCTGAATCTGGCCTTTCAGCTCATCAAATCTCCTCTACAACTGGTCAGGGGAGCTCTAATGTGGCCAGGGTCATCAAAGAGTTCCAGCTAGATTAAGGAAAACCTCAAACTAGGACATCCTTACCAGCCTTCTTTTCCTGGCAGAGGAGAACAGTCTCTAGTATGACCTCTGGAAGAGCTGAAAATACTGTCTGGGCTACCCATATGTATAATATGTGTGGCCCTTTCCTCTCCTGTCACTTTCCAAGCTGTTTGCAGTGTGCTCAATTCTGCATCCCTGAAGGCTTTAGTCAAGCAGGAGAATTATCCTGCAAACACTTCCCTACCATTTTCCACACAAACTTCCTTCCATCTGGTCCAATACTATTGATCTTGGGCTCAACTGACCAGATGACCCCAGTGCAGTCATCCACAGTCCAGGTTTGGTGCTTAAGAGGAAAGGAAAGTCACTGTTGTGTATACTTGCAAGACAAGAGTGGCATCTCCTGCTTGACAATCACCTTCAGGGATGCAGAATTGAGCACACTGCAAACAGCTTGGAAAGTGACAGGAGAGGAAAGGGCCACACATATTATACATATGGGTAGCCCAGACAGTATTTTCAGCTCTTCCAGAGGTCATACTAGAGACTGTTCTCCTCTGCCAGGAAAAGAAGGCTGGTAAGGATGTCCTAGTTTGAGGTTTTCCTTAATCTAGCTGGAACTCTTTGATGACCCTGGCCACATTAGAGCTCCCCTGACCAGTTGTAGAGGAGATTTGATGAGCTGAAAGGCCAGATTCAGACACAAGATGGATATTTGCTCTAGCAGAGGCAAAAATGCATTTCATGGTGAAATAGGGTTAGCTGAGTGGGGCTCAAACCATTTTTATGGCTCAGGATTATGTACATTACATAATCAGTCAAGGTTGAAGCACAAAATCCCTCAGAAGTTGTCAAATCTTTATGTTATTTACTAAATAATGACTGACAACATCATGCTCAAAAAAGTGTCCCAATGACATGTCATCTTAAAATGGTTATATCTCAGTGCCATGTCAACAAAATTACATAAGCAAGCCCATGTTGTCAAGGCAATGGTTAGTACTATTTTTGGTCCTGCAGGGGTTTGAACTAATTCCTATTGACTCTCTCATAAATCTCAACTCTTTCCAAAATCACCCAACATTGGGACACTTTTTTGAGCCACTGTACATGTGACAAGACCATTGAGCCTTGCCAACACTGCAACTTCTATGGCTAAATTAGACATCAAGAACAATGACCATACCATATGCCTTCACAAGTGCCCTACACACTGGTAAATGTACCAAATTCAATGTGCTAATCTACCAGAATCAAGAGGAAATGGTACAGGAAATGGAAAAAGAGCAGTATACTATGATCCTGGGTAAGAGTCATGACCAGGGGGATGACACAGGGCTCAAGGAACTTTTGACAGTATGCAACAGCTTTCTGGGAAAAGTCATTGTAGGTAGTGAGCACTGTGAGTTTGTAGATGCTCAAGAGGGGGCAGAGGGATGAGAGAGAATAGTGGCTGGGGGCATGGTTAGTAGTTAAGGGATCCCCTTGGTGAATTATTATGCTGTGCTTGGCTATAACATGTACTTCTCACCAGGTAGCATATCATGAATTGTGTTTGAAAGTGGGGTCTGATAACATGTGATATGTGATATCAGAGGACATCAGTACAATTAGCAGGGTAAAATTATCATTGGGAAAGCATGGGGGATGAACTAATATGTGGCAGCAAAGCAGCAGGCATACCCAACATAAAAATACATTTTATTACATCATTCATGCACTAGAATTGAAACATTTGCACCACTCCTTGCCATGGGCCATCTGACTCAAGTCCAACTCTGTGCAACAACCTCTAGGAATGACTGCTATGGTCCACATTGAGTAAAATGGACTCCTAAGTTTTGGGGGGATCCAAAGTAGCAGCTGTCCTTTTGGGCCTCTGATCCAGCCATCATCATGTAACTTGACTAGTTGGCCCAGCATAGCCCCCTGTTGCACAAAGCCATCAACAAGTGGATTACTATTATGCAGTGCATGTGAGGGGTCAAATGAAAAGTAAATGGGATATCTCATGACAACTGCATTTTTATTAAGTGAAATAAGGATAGGTCACAGGTGGAGGCACATACCATCTGCAGGGGGGAATGGATGAAGCATGCTGAAGGAGTGGGATGCAATCAATGCCAACTGCTCCTTCTCCCAGACCCTCACAGTCATGTCTTCTGAGCCTGAGACAATCCTCTTCCCATCAGGGGAGAATGCAA